AAAAAAAAAACCGGCAATGATTTGATGTAATAAAATTTAACAAATGATTACTTCATGGAATTTTAATGTATTATGTCGCCATGCCGAGTTAGCAGGTAAATTCTTGTATGCAGGGTCTGAAGGCTTCAAGCTTGGAAATGCGTTAGAGTCATCAAGGCTTATTAAAGGACCATTTCTGGCTTTTGAGGTTATGTTCGAAAGTGAATTTGGTCGACGAAAGGCGGCACTATATGACGGCTTCTTTAATTGAGGATCATCAGGATCAGATGCAGCAGACGGCTGAAATAATTCTTTTCTTTTCACACTTCAAACATTCTATTATGACAAAAAAACGTATTTAGAATCAAATGCAATTGAAAAAATCCAAAGGCTCATATAAAAATCATACTCCAGCATTTAAGGAGCTATCAGGTCGAGGTTGCAAAGATATATCCTGACTGACACTGCCAATCATTTCATCATCATCAATAAACCACGAAACAGGTGCAGGATTCTGTAACTCAAAAAACAACTTTAAAATGATCTTATTCTTAACTAGCAAAGCGACCCTACATAACAGCAGGTAATAATAAAATGACAATTGTTATAAAATATATCTGGAAAAAACACGCTGCTTACACGTTTGTCTTCTTTTTTTTTAGCTGGTTTTTCACTAGGCGAAGTTGAATTAGTCTCCTTGTCTATCTTCCTACTTTTTTGTTTAGAACTAGCGCCAAGACGAGGGAAGTCATTTCCCTGCATTGTGAACCCCGGAGTCCGTGAATAACGAAGCGATACGTCAACTCCTTGAGCCTGCATTGACGGCACAATTGTAAATTCGGTAGGATCGACTCTCCTAAACCTTACACTATTTTCACCGTAAACATCTCCATAGTACACCAAAACAAATTCTACACGGATGCAAGCGAGAACCTTTGAAATTCTCCACGATTTTCATTAGGTATTACTCCTACACGAGGAACAAGACGTTGCTGCGTAAGAGCTCCAGGACGATTATTACCCCTTCCGGCAGCAGTCGATGATGAGCCTCCCCTATCAAAATGGAAATCTAAACTTAAAGTTTGGCGCCCTGCAGCATGTTCAGTGCTCTGCAAAAGAAACGGTAAACTTCCAAAACATAAGGGGCGACTACCACTATTTAGACTAAGAACCTTCGCAATTCAAAACAAAAGCATATTGAAAAAAAAAGAGCGAAATATCAAAAAACCAGCTAGATAAACATACCTTGTGAAGTTTCAGCTCTATTTCGTTTCGAAATGCAATCCCTAGCTGTTTACACTCGCCCTCCTCACAGACAACATGTTTCTTCTTGTAATGGTGAATAAGATCTGAGTGTTGGCTAAATAGAGATACTTAAAAGTGCAGACCAATAAGTTTTGCGAGGATGACAAAATACCTGTAAAAGTAATTGGAATTTCCATCGGCATCGCAGATTTGGCAAAAAAAGTGTTCTTTCCTCAAATGCTTATAACGAAATTCCTCATCCAGAAACCTTTTGTCACAAAATAAGCATTGAGGATGACCTGGAAATAACATAAGAGTATTAAATATACAAAAGTTAAGAAACTGAAAGAAACAACCAACCTCAATCAACACAGGCACTGTTTTCTCCATAAATCGCATACAATTAAAAAATCCCTCTAACAGATATATTATGAAATAAAATTTGAACAACAAGTCCAAAGAAAACCTTTCTGACTCGTGTCGTCCAAATCGCCCTTTTCCAAATGCCTTTCCAAATCCAGCTGCGTATAAACTCTCCTCTCATGAGATAACAAGTCAAGGTACTCGACACATATATCACAATAAAAATAACGGTGTACCATATACACATGTTGATTTAAAAAAGCAAAGGTTTGAAACTCTCTCAACTCTCCTCTGAAAAAAATTTTATACAAAATTTAGAAAAGAACACTGCCGTTTATTTTC